AAAAGAAACTTGGAGTGGTAAGGGTATTTTTTTAGATAAAAAATAAAAAAATTTTTTTTCTTTACAACTTGAAAGTACTCTTCAAACCGTACAATTTTTGTTTAAAACAATTTTTTTTATCTTTTATATTTTCGACGATATTTCGCCACAAAAAAGAAAATTTTTTTCAAAAAGGTGTTTCACCCCCTAAAGACACTCCTCTCTGAGATTCCGCATATATACAAAAATACGTGTTTCTTAGATTTTTGTGTTTAAAAACATATTTTAAGGAGAATTAAATCGGTGCTGGACAATTGTGATATGTCCCTTGTAAGAACACATTAAACACATATACATATATACTGTACTATTAAATTTTGTTTTATTTATTACTATTTTATGACACATGTAATAGATACTTTTAATTATACTGGATTGGTGAAACATTCTGCAAGAGATTAGTTAAATATCAAATAAAAATTAAAATTGTTCTGAAATAAGTTAAACTTTATTTTTTTAATTAACAATTTTTAATAATATTTATAATAATTATGTATAATAATTAGATAGATTCACATGAATGTTTGTATCTTATATAAATGATCCGTTTAAACACATAATTTAATTGTAAATATTTAAATGCACATAAAAAATAAATTTAAAAAATATAATCGGTAGTTATATTAAAAATCAAATCAAGTTAAAATTAAATAAAAAATATAAATGTTTTTATCTCAATGTTTAATTCAATTTTACATCTTATAATCATATAATGTGTTGTTCATATTTTAGGCGCCAAGTGGCATTCACGGCGAAAGATATTAACTCCCACATTCCATTTTAATATATTGCAGCAGTTTGTTGAGATTTTGATTGAAGAGAGCGAAAACATGACAAAGACCCTAAAGCATACGGGAGGCACAGTTGTAAAAGATTTAACATCGTTTGTTAGTGAACATACGCTGAATGCAATATGTGGTATTGTATAACTACATAGAATTTTATTTCTATCAACGAATAATAGAAAATAAAATGCAATTTTTTAATTAAAATTTCGATATAACATTACTGTTCAATATGTAATTTTTACACATAAACATAGATATTTTTAGAATTTTGTGTATCGTAACATTATCGACACTCACAAATGCGTTTGCAGAAACTGCAATGGGCACTTCCCTAAGAGATCTAAATGCATTCCAACAATCTTATCGTGATGCGATTCACCAAATGGGCGATCTTCTTGTTCATAGGTAATTTATAAGTATAAGTAATGTATATATCTATATTCCGTTTTATCATATAAATTAATATCATATTAAAATAAATTATAATATTTAATGTAAAATGTTAACAATTAAAAATTTTTATGATATTATCTTATACATATGGTCAATTAAAATATTTATTTAAAAATAAGTATTGCTCAAATTTTACTGTTTAACATTTAATTGGCTACAGTATCTAAAACTTTTCTAGTATTAAAGCATTACAAAAAAAAAACAATTCAGTGTAAATACGGATTTTTTATTTAATAATAAAATTAAAGAATTAAAAAAATTGTTTGATGTCTCTTAAAATGTTTTTAATGTCTCTCTTTTTAAGAAAAATTTATTATTATTATTAATACAGTTTTATGTTAACTAAAATATTATTAATTCAACAATTCTAACAGTTTGTAAAGAAATTAAAGAAAGCTCTCCTTTACAAAATGATATCATTATTTTAAAATAGCATATCTATTATTCTATAATTGTTACAATTAGAACAATGAGGCCGTGGCTGTACTTCGATTGGATATTTTCATTAACGCCAAAAGGTAGAGACCAAAAAAAGCTTCTGAAGATATTACATGGATTTACCGAAAAAGTAAGAAGACTGCTTCAAATTGTATTTAAATCTATTTTTTTTAT